AGTGACTATAAAAGAGTAGAAACATTTGAGAGTAATTTAACAGCATTATTATCCATTCTCATAAGGAATGATTCTACAGAAATACTATCGTGAGCACGGGGAAGCATTGTTTATAACGGCAAAAAAGGTAACCACAACGGCATTGTTAGGTCTAGGGCAAAACTTGAAAATAACAAACATCCATCAACAAAGAAATGACTCATTTGATAAATAGATGCCATATCGATTTACTTATACTAAGTAGATATGATACTGCATTTATTTAACAAACATTGTCTCAGGCAAGCTTTTCAGATACTCAGAGGATTTTAATTCATTTGAACAACTATGTTTGGAATACAGGACATGCTCATGATACATCTTTTTAGAGAATTGATTACATTTGGGCAGATGTCCTGAAAACAAAATTTTACACACAAGTCTTTCTTAAAGTAATTATGTACAAACACTGTCACTTTTTATTCTTCTCTAGCCTGGCTTATTAATGATGTACTGAATAGATTGTACAGAGCTATCCAGTTCTAGAAGGCAGTTTTTCAACAGAAAAGTATTAGGCTATTTCGGGATATCCGCATGGTTGGTTATAAACCACACCATCTCCTTTTCTAATGCATTTTCAGAGGAACAAAGTGGGACCCATGATCATAATGTTACTACATACACACCATAATTTTGTACTAAGTGATAACTTATGTTTAAAATATATTTTCATAAGTCTCATGATAATTCTACCTTACAGAGAAAAAAGAGGGGTGAGAGGTGTACTTAAAATTTTTGGACTTCAATTAGACAAGGAGTGATTAAAGGAAATGAGGATTTTCAAAGTATCGTCCTCAAATTCTGGGGTTAATCTGTCATCTTCTCAGCCAAAATGATGCTCAGTGACACCTTCAGACAAATTGTTGGGCTGCATAGAGCAACTTATTATGATATTTCTTGTTCTCTGCTAAATAACCCTCCCTATGGATGGAACTTTTCCTTTTATATCTACTTAAAAAAAAAAAATCACGCACTGTCTGACGTCTCTACAGAAAGAAACGAAGTGCAGACTTCATTAAGAACCCTTAGAAAGCTTTCCTAGTCAGCCCAAACCAAATGAGCAAACCTTGAGGGAAGTATATAATGTTCATGAGCATGAAGCTGTCCCACAGGCAACTCAAAGGAAATGCTTAAGCCGAGATTTTATGCCTCAAAAGAGAGACATGAATTCAGAAGCTCGACCTGAATTTGTAAAAGAACTTTTTGTAAACAAGATCCACGTGTTCGCAATATTGAGCATGGCAACCGGTGCGAATATAAAAAGCAATATAAAAAGCAGCAAGGCAAAAAACGATTCTGAAAACCCCCAAGCCCACCCACCCCCGCTCACCCCTGAGCGGGACAAACAGGCAAGGTGCTAATCATTCCTCATCCAAGAAGAGCATGCAAAGCCAACCAGAATGGAAAAAGAAATTAAGTTGCAACAGCGAAGCCCCCAAAGCAATCCAGCAAGTCCAAGCAACAACGTCGTGCACTTAAATCATGGAAGGCTGGGGCTCCTCCTTCCTTCCTCCGGGCGTCTACAAAGGTGCCAGCCGGGCGCCCACACCGAAGTTTTACCTGTCCCTTGTGCTGCCGCGGCCCCCGACGACTTGACATAATTGTGCAATTCCGTCCACATGTTCCCGCCGCTGTCCGCTCCTCCAACACCTGCTCTTCCCTTCTCTGTCCCTCGTGGCCAAAAGTGCGAGATGTTCGTCTCCGCCTCCTTCAGAGCCAGGGGAGGGGGCCCCTGGGTCGCTTTTTCTTTTGGGGAGCCCCCCTATCCACCCCGTCTCCCGTGGGCGCCACCACCTCCCGCTGACACTGGCTAGTCCGAGGCGCGCCGGACCCTCCACGTCGCAGCCCGTCCTTCCTCTCCGCCCTTGTGTCAGCGGCGCGGGGAGCGCGGCCGGGTCTCGAGGGGCGGCACCGAGGCGCCGGCGGGGGGGACGTGGGCCCGGCGTCCAGGCTCGGAGCCCGCAGGACCCGCCGCGCGCGTCGGCCTAGCGTTACTGCTCTTCAGAGCGTCGTCGGACAGGACCCGCCCCGAGATGCCCCGCGCTCGCAAGGAACATGTCGACTTTCACAGAGACGGGCGCTGGAAACCGGAAGTAAAACCCCGCGACCGCAGGAAGCGAGGAGTGGAAAAAAAAAAAGAGAAAGCGAAAACGGAACTGTGGCTTCCCCTAGGAGGCAGGAGCCAATCACAGAGGAGAAGCCGACGCGCAGGCGTGGATTTCAGCGGGAATCCACGCGGCGCTCTCCGCTCCTTTCTGCGCAGGCGCAATGACGCAGGACGCCACGGCGTTGGGCAGCGGAGTCCGGCGCTTGCGGCAGCTCGGGGACCGGAAGTCCCCCAAAGCCGAAGCGTTGCCGGATACGGAAAATACGCAGGGGCTGACGCGGAAGGCCCCGCCATGACGGGCTTGCGAGTGCAGAAGGGGCTTGCTCTGTAGTATGGCGAGTGTGCATTTCCTTGCCTCTGGCCCTGCACCCAAGGCGATGACACTCTTTTTTAACTCCCAAATGCGACATTTCCGAAAACCCGTGATTTTAATGAATGTTAAATCCATGTAACCATCACCTGCGTGCTAATTTCATGGGAAAACAACGCTGCAATTTTGCGTTATGTGCAGAGCACCTAGATGTCCACAAGCAGAATTAATCTGATCAGAGATGTTAAGTACTACAGACACGAACCAGGCTCATGTGCTGTGTCATGGGAATGTGAAGAGATTTGCTCATCCAATGCTAACTTTTACTGTTGCTCTAGCTAAATGCTGTGTTAGGCACTAGCATTACAGACCTGAATGAACTGGGAAAGGACTTTGTACATAACTTACAGAGGTGGATAACAAACAGTAACAAACCATTGCCAGAACAAAAAGGAAATTGCACATAACTGTGCTGTGAAAACAAGCTGCAAGTGTCAGAGGATGGCCTTAGGAGGCGAGGGGCAGAAGAGGTACGTACAATGTCTAAGTGAATAAGTAACATTTGAGTTCAAAACTGAATAGGGAAACTTTAACTAAAATTGGAGTCGGGAAGGACTATAGAGGGATCTGTTATAACTCACAATCCTTTGTGTGCACTTGTCTTCATTGCATGCCAAAGAGGAATACCCTTACATTACCAAACGGGGAAATCATCTACAGCTCCAAGAAAGCTGATTCTGCACAGCTACATTTTTTGGGTTTGTTTGTTTGTTTGTTTGTTTTTAAAGATTTATGTATTTATGCATACAAGAACTGGGGTGTGGCTGTTGGGAGGGGAGGAGACAGGGACTGAGAGGATTCACCAGAGATAGAGCAGGGAGCAGAACAGGCAGGCTGACTGAAATATACTCTGAGGGGAGCAGTGGGCCAGTCAGGAGAGGTCTGCTGCGCCATGTGGGTCACCTCCCTGGCCAGGGGTTGAACTCATGGATAGCTTCATACTGCTGCAACTTAACCCCTAACACTACCAGGGAGGCCCTGTGCAGCTACAGTTTTAACAAGGAAAAGTGACTGCAACCGAGCCAATGAGAAGTCACAGCCACCTTGAACTCTCATACATTGACCTTTCATTCAGAACAGCCCCTTCTCTCTCCCTCCTTTCTTCTATGTTAAGCAAGCTCTCTTCATCTATCCAGCAAATCAGTCTTTCAAAAAGTAAGTTAGGAGAATAAGTGACATTTGAATTCAAAACTCAATTTTATTTTGCCTTTCCCCCCAAATATTGGTTTTTGTTCCTTTTGTGCCACTCTTGATTTGATAGTTTTTTCCAGAAATGAGTAATAAAGAACTTTTTAAGACAACAAATGAGGGACCATTTATTGTCTGCACTATTCATGCTGAGACTGTTTCCCTCAGTCTATTCCCATTCAGTGCCTGAGCACACTGGAGGTTCTCCTGTTGAGCTAGACCTGTCCAGTGCAGGATTCCTTTAAGGAAATCTTCGCTTGCAAGTTCTACATCAGCCTCGTTGATGCTTTCTTAGAAATTTGCAGTAGTCTGAGACTCCCCGTGCCCAATTCTGCCTCCCCCTTTTCTAGTCACAAATACCAAATCTTCATCACCATGTGATGACTCTCCCCACTAACTCCTATTTCTCCCTTCATTGTCCCTCACATGCATTTCCCCTAATAAATCTCTGTATTTCTACTTTTTGTAAAAGAACCAGTACTGGCCTCCATGGTGGTACAGGGGTTAAAGTCTCAGGGTTACTGCCAGCTACTACAGCATGAGTTTGATCCCTGGCCATGGGTGTGTTAGGGGGAAAAGGATGTCCTAAAGCTAATTCCATACAGGCTTTGTGGACTCCACCCTGACCCCAGGCCAAAGCCAAAGACACTGGGAACTCCAAATCCCATCACCACCAAAGGGAAGATGGCTGGGACCTGAGAGTGGGGTTAAGCAGCCAGGTTGGTATAAAGCCAGACACGGGGGCTTTGCAGGAGTCCCCCGTTTTGACTCTCTGCCAGCTCGCAGTGTCCGGCCAGCTCTGAGAGTGCTTTTTGGGTTTCCAGGTCGTCGGATCGGGTAGGACGCATTAAAGACTTTATTTCCCTATTTTCTCCCTGAGTTGTACATTTTCCTTATTTCCTTTTCCTTTGTAAATAAACCTTTTATTAACCTATTGTGTATGCCTGTAGTGGAGTATTACTAAGTCCCTTGTAAGCGCGCGGGGGAGGACCCACAGCCAGGCAACCCGTTCAATATCGGGGCTGCCCTATAACAGGTGCAGCAGACCTCTCCTGTCTTGCCCAGTGTAGCCTTCAGCAGTGTATTTAAGTAGATCCCCCTGTTCTGCTCCCCACCCTGTTTCTGGTGAATCCTCTCACCCCTGCCCACCCACACTTCTGGCCTAGACCCCAGTTCTTATATGCATAAGTAAATAAAATACATCTTTAAATAGAGAAATGAACCAGTACTGATTCAAGTAATGCTAAGAATGGACCAAGAAAAAGTTAGATGGGGCTTGGGGATTGAGTCACTTACTCTCCAGGTGGCAAGAAGGAACACATTGCAAGTGAAATTTCAAGTACAGAGCAGTCCCTGGCACACAGTGGTTATGACTCAGTTGGTGAAGATACATCATCAGTGGTAACCTAGGAAATGAGATTACTCTGCAGAGCTCATAGTAGAAGAGGTGTTCACAAAGGGTCACAATTACTCTGATAACAGGCAAAGCTGGAGTGGCTGGCCAAGGGCATTTGTCTCTTAAGGAGTTGTGAAGAAGGTAAATAGGACACCATGTGCAGAGGCAAAATACATCAACAGCTAATGAATATTCTAATTAACATCTATAGCCAGAAGGGAAGAGAGAGATACTGAGAATTGAGATAGAAGCAGGTATAGCCCCAAGTACTACCATTCCCAATGACCTATTAGGAGATGTTGTGCTTCATATTATCACAGCTCTTGGCCCTGCAGGGCTTGAGATTCTGGCCTCCAAAGTGGTTCACTCATGCCAAGGGACTCAGCATATACCCTTTAAACTGCACACAAAGGCTACTATCAGGAGTCTTTGACTTCTTGCACCTAGAGAGTGGCAGATGAAAAGAGCCTTTATCTTGATGAACAGGAGGTGGTAGGGCTGTTTTTACACATAGGAAGGAATACCTGTGTAAACAGGTGAATGACCTGGCTGTGTCTTGGTCCTCTTGTTATAGGACAGGGAGAGGGGCAGCCCAAAACCCCGCAAACCTGCCTATTCTAAATGGGTTCTGCCATCCGCCGCATCAACACAAAACATATGAGACTTTAATGGGAAGGAACTTTAATAAAACTAGGAAACAATACAGATAAGGCAAATAATTTAGTTTCTAAATCAAGCATCCAAAGTTACCCGTCCCCTCGTGGGTAAAAGTCCATCCAAATGGGATTGGCCCAGAGCAAAGCTCCAAAGCCTGCCACAAGTCTAAAGCATCTTCCAGTGGGGACCCACAGAAAAGGGTCAGAAACAACCAGACAAGCCCGGAAGGAAAAGAGCAAAATCAACATCAAGATAAAAGCTGCCATTGTCACCTCCCCACGGGTCTCACCCACATCTGTGTCACCCAGTCCACGACCAAAAGACAAGCGCAGTTTCTTCACGTGTCTCTAGGCTCCATGCGCCTCCTCCAGGTCTCCTTGCTCCATCCTGCTTCCTTCCTCCGTCTCCTCCTGCAGCTTCTTCTCTTCCTGCTCAGCTCCACCCTTCCTTGGGTGGGGCAGGGAACCTCCCCCTTTTCTGGGGACCACCCTGTTGCACTCTGTCCCACTTAACTATGATCAAGCATATGCAGCAATTCCAATATTTGAATGTATAAAATATATGATTACTATTGGTCCAAATGTTATAGGGCAGCCCCGATATTGAACGGGTTCCTGGCTGTGGTTTCTCACCCGCGCCCTTACAAGGGACTCCACTACAGGCACACACAATAGGTTAATAAAAAGTTTATTTACAAGGGAAAAGGAAATAAGGAAAATGTACAACTCAGGGAGAAAATAGGGAAATAAAGTCTTTAATGCATCCTACCCGAGCCGACGACCTGGAAATCCAAAAAACACTCTCAGAGCTGGCCGGAAACTGCGAGCTGGCGGAGAGCCAAAATGGGGGACCCCTCCAAAGCCCACTTGTCTGGCTTTATACCAACCTGGCTGCTTAACCCCACCCTCAGGTCCCAGCCACCTTCCCTTTGGTGGTGATGGGATTTGGAGTTCCCAGTGTCTTTGGCTGTGGCCTGGGGTTGGGATGGAGTCCACAAAGCCTGTATGGAATTAGCTTTAGGACATCCTTTTCCCCCCTAACACAGATACCTCAAGAATCAAGTTTTGAATCATATCACAAAGACCTGTTGACAATGACAGCTGAGAATGAAGGGAATTTAAAAGGTAATAGAGGAAGAAGAACATGAATTCCAATTGAACTGTGAGACTAACTGCAGAGACAGAGACTAGTTTACCTGACTAAACTTTTTCTAAGTTTCCTATTGAAAGGCCCTTAGAACCATGGAAGAACTGTTCCCCAAATATGTAAAGGATCTATGTGGAGCAAGAGGTAGATTGTGGTAACAATGGAAGTGATCTCTTTCTGTTGTGGGAAAGGGATGTCTTGAACAAACTCCACAGATAAGTTTTATGGACCCCACCCCTACCCCAGACCAAAGAGATGCAAAACACCAAGGACTACAAATCCCATGATGTCATCACTATGGAAGGGAGGATTGCTGGGGACTGAGGGTGGAGTTAAGCAGCCAGGTTTGATATATAACCAGACATGTGGGCCTTTGGGGGGTTTGGTTTTTCGCCCGCTTTCAGAGTGCTATTGGGGTTCCAGCTCAGTGGAACTGGCAGGATGTATTCACCAATTTATCTCTCTTTCTCCCTGAGTTATTCCTTTCTTCATTTCCCCTTTCTGTAAATAAACCCTTTATTAACCGTTTTGTGTGTGCTGCAGTTGAGTCTCATTTGTAAGTCCCTTTTTAAAAATTTATTAATACAAAACTGGGGTACAGGCCAGAGGCATGGGAGGGTGAGAGGATTCACCAGAGACAGAGTGGGGAGTGGAACAGGCAGACAGACTGAAAACACTGCTGAGGGGAGCAGTGGGCGAGACAGGAAAGGTCTGCCTTGCCATGTAGTTATCTCCCCGACTGGCTGGGAATCAAACTGGCGCTTCAGAGGCTGTGGACAGCGTCACAGCACTGCGCTGAACCCACTGCACCACCAGGAAGGCCCACATTATAAGTCCCTTTTAAATGCGTGGGTGAGGACCCACAGTCAGGCCAATTCATTTCATATTGGGGTTGCCCCATAACACTTGAGGGCATGACTCACAGACTCCACTGCCACCTCCACTGTAACCCACCATGTTTTCTCTAAAATGCTCCCAGATGGTAACTAACCAGTGGCATGCTAGTGATGGCCCGTTCCTGCTTGACTCAGTAAACACTTTTTCTCAGGCAATCTCCATCAGCCTAGTCAGACCTGAGCTGCCACCTGAGACTCCTTCCATGTATAATTTCCTTAGCGCTCCTCTTTCACAATTGTTAGGATTACGTCTTCATTTATAGTTTCTCCCTACCTACTCTGTGTTCACCCAACTTATTATTCATAGTACAATCTTGTGCATATCTATCTCAGAGTCTGCTTTTGGAGAATCCAAACTGACACAGTCTTCAGTAGACCTTTTGCATCCTGACTAACTCATTTTAGCATTTGCTTCCCAGAGAATCCATCCAGTACATTTGTAGAATTTATTAAAAATGTGAATGCTGGTTCCCACCAGTGGAGTACTTTTCATTTTTTAATTTAGGTAAGGGACCAAGAAACTGATTTTTCTTACTGGCATCTCAAGTGCTTCTGTTGTAGTTGAGATACTAGACACTATCTTGTCTAAAACATTACTCCAAAACCATCAAGATAATATAAGAGCAATTGAAATTCATTTTTATTAAAAAAATTTCCAGCCAAAAAAACACATGCTTTAATATGAAAAAAGAACGCAATGTTTAAGGGCTAAAAATGAAATGAAAACACTGATGGAGGGCCTCCCTGGTGCTCAAGTGGTTAAGATGCAACCTATGTCTATCCACAGCCACTGCAGTACGAGTTCGATCCCTGGCCAGTGAGCAACCCACAAACCTCTTTTGCCTTGCCCACTGCTCCCCTCAGCAGTCTATTTCAGTCAATCTGCCTGTTCTGTTCCTCACTCTGTCTCTGGTGAACCCTCTCACCTCTGGCCTATACCCCAGCTCTTGTATGCATATGTAAATTAAATAAATCTTTTTTTTTTTTTAAAGAAAAACATTCTGTCATTCTTTTAAACAAATTCTTTAAAAGACAGTTGACTGGATAAGCACTTTCAGAACAACAGAGTAAAGACCTCCATAAATCTACTCCTGCATAAAAGCAATGAGTACACTGGCAAAAGTTACAAAAATCATTTTGTCAGAAAGCTGTAGTTTAACCAAAGGCTTACATAATCTGAGGTGATTTATTTAAGAGAAGAAGTTGAATCACAGTAGGAACAGTAAGCTTTGTGGCATTTTAACTTAATTATCGCCAAAGTGGAAATAGCCCAACTGATGAATAAAAAATGTAATACATCCATACAATGGTGTATTATTTAGCAATAAAATGAATAAAGGGCTGACACATTCTACAACATGGATATAACTCAAAGGCATTATGGTAATGAAAGAACTCCAAGTTAGGGTCTCTGGTTAATTTTCTAGCAAGCCAGAGGAAGGGCTTCTCAAAATTGTAGTTACTTTTGGAAAAATAGTAGAGAGAAAAAAGTAAAAAGACTGACTTTTGGCAGTTATAGTACTAAGGATTCTTTTTTTGGTGGAAGACAATATATTTTGCCTTAACTTTCCTGTCCTTAATGTTCATGTTGTTGCCACACAATACACTAAGGGTGTTTTCATATATTCATGCCATATCTCTATGCCAGTTAGGCACATTCTAGTCAGTAACTCTCAATGTTACATCAAACACTATAATGGCACCCTGGGTCTGGATGTTCCCTTGGGGCGGCAACTTTGGGAGCTATGCAAGACCAAGGAAAAAACACTCAAGTGAGGGAGAGGCCTAGAGGGCCTTACACCTAAATAAGAGCAGCCCTGATCTGTGGGCAGTCCTATATTTATTTAGAACAAGGTTCAGAGAAGATGGACAAGTACGTGAAGGAATGTGCATGTGTGGGACACCTTATTGGGGATACATTATGGTCTTGTGTAAGCTAGGGTGAAGTGATCAGGGAGCTATTGCTTGGGCAAGGGTGGGAGGGCTGCGAGGGGCTCCATAGGTCCCGCTAATCAAAGTATAATATCTCTAATCCCTATTCTTAACTAACTTTCTGCTAATCTTTACAAGTAAGGCATTCAAACTGATCTTGCTAATCTGGCCAGAATGTCTGCCTGCTGTTTTTAGCAGATGCTGATTTCCCAGTATGTCCCTCATACCAGGACTTTTGCCCTGGTGAGAGGCCCCCAGCCTAACTCTGCATTTTAGCTTGACAAGCAGGAACCCTGAGCACCATGACAACAGCCTTGATAACAAAGAGGGCTGGGGATTCCACAGGGTCTAATAGCCATCTCTCAGTCTGCCAAATTTCTCCTGGCCAGGCGTATCCCACATGTTGAACTTGATGGGTCCCTGTTGGTATGGATCATGAGGGGATGGACCTTGACACCAAAGGTAGCTACTGTTGTGCCCAGCGTCGACCAGTGCAGGCCCCCAAGGACACACAGACAACCGCTGTAAGAACACAAAGGAGTTTATTACGGGCTCGAGACCGGGCCCTCGACTCGCACCGATGTAACGGTGGAGGTCGGGAGCCCTGAACAAAGGAAACAGGGATCTTATATAGGGGTACAAGTAGATTTCTAAAAATTAAATCATGTTGGCAATCATTCATTAGTTACATAGGTACATCATTCATTGATTACACAGGTGCATTAATTAACAACGGTGGGTACACAGTTATTTTATGGCTAGTTTGACCCCATTGGTGGCCTGCATTGCTCAGTTCTATTTTATGGCCAGTTAGACCCATTACTCGGCTCCGCTGTGGCTGGTCATCTGAGATAAGACCAGAGTGGGGTGGGGGTCATAAACCCTCTTTGGAATGCAGGCTATTTAGTCTTGGGTAAGCAAAACTTGAAATACTAAGATGGTGGTTATACACAAGATGGAGGAATAGTGGCTAAGTCTCACAGCTACATGCTTCTCAAATTCACCTGTCAAATGACACTTCAGAAAAGTAGTTTTCCCATTTCCACCATCACCCACCCACACAAGTTTGAACTGGATTGGGGCTCTCCCTGTGGGCATTGAGTGTTCTTCCAGAAGCTTCTCCTCGCCTGTCTCATAATTCCAATATCAATGAGAATCTTTACTCTCACCCATTTAGAAGAATAAAAGTAAATAAAGGCACTAATGTTTTTAAAAGGAAAAGGTATACTTCCCAAGTTAGAAAATTTTAAAATTTGTCACACTGGTTTTAAAATTACAAACATATTGCTTGTTTTTGTAGTTAACATGAAAAACAGCCAAAATAATACTGTGATATAATCCTGTCAAAGAAGAATCCCACCCAAGTTACTATTAACAATATGCTGGTTTATTTGCTTTCAGAATTTTTTCTTTGATGAAGTATTATTTAATCATTTTGTCTTTTTGACTTTTCACCTAATCTTATAATTTTTCAAGTTGTTTTATATTGTCCTCAAACACCGTGGACTTGTCTGAAGATAAAGTGTCCAGTCCTTAAGGAAGTCTTGCCCAAGAGAGCTCAGAAGAGAGCTCAAACTATCCTCTCTGCAAGGCTAGTGTAATATCCAGACCATGTGATTCTGGATATTGTTTTACTTTCCAGACCAAAACAAACGTCTACATGTAGACTCAATACAGGTCAGGAAGGGTGAGAAATTTTGTGAGGTTGAAAACCTTTGGCATTGTTAAATCTTCTGAACTTTCTAAGTCGCTTGCAAAATTAAACAGAACACAAACGCCCACCCACACACGCACAGCAAAAACTAAAACGTAACAAAACAGCTCTCTTACTCAATTGTCAACTTGGCATCATTCAGAAACAGGTTCTTCATTCCTGCCCTTCAGAGTTCAGCTTTCATCTGCTAACACTGTGAGGGGAACATTCAATTTAAAAGCGTCTCTAAGCACTTGGAGAGACTTTAAAAAAAACCTTTAATGTGAACGATTTGGAATTTATGATTTATCTTGCAAGAGGAAAGGAGCAGGGAGTATGAATAACAGGTGCGGTAGGATGTTCTCATTGGAAATAAAATCTTGGCGAAGTCCCAGATTCCCGGGGTGCGATCAGTGTAAAGAATGGATGTGAGTTTTAACAGGGGCACATTCTGCAGACGTTCACGTTTTGCAGCTGAATACGTATTACGCGTGGACACCTATTCTGCACACTCACACGCTTGCCCAGCAAAGCCCGTGACCGCCACAGCAGAGTAGGACGCAGGTGACCGCCGCGCAGCGCCGGCGGCGACAGCTCAGAACTACAACTCCCGGCGCGGCCCCGAGTCCCGGCTGGCTCCGCCCCGGCCCGAGCGGCCAGCGGCGAGGCCGGGTCGCTGGGGAGTCAGCGGCATGGAGCCCCGGGCGGCGGACGGCTATTTCCTGGGCGATGTGGGTACGTGCGGACCGTGGAGGGTGCATGCTGGGGCGCGGGGCTGGAGGCACCCAGGTGAGCAGCTTGCTAGCGCCGCCCCAGCCGCTCTGGGGACTGAAGAGGTGCCTCTGATTGACATTCGCCCCGAGATCCGGGACGTGCTGTCCCGAGTGAGTCGTCAGGGCATTTGGAGGGGCTCTGGTTGGCACTGCCCTTGGGGCGGTGGGTGATCCCATGCATTTGAGATGTGGTTCCGCGGCGCCCGCTCCTTGTTTCCAGCCAGCGCCTTGCAGGGTAGTCGTCAGTGTGCCGCACCGGTTGTGGGGTAATAGAACTCGACCCACCAGAGCGTCGTGCACCTTGTGCCTAGTCCTTGCCAAGTTCTGAGGCAAGACCCGGAGAAGTATTCAGGTGGGGCCATTTCTAGGGCAGCCCCGGCAGGAGCCAAGTTGAAAGCTGGACCGCCCTGCGGAGGGTCGTGTAGCGTGTCATTAGCATCCTGTAGATAGTTCCAGCTGTGACACCAGAAAGAGAATATGCCCTTGTGACTTCATGTCACAGTGTAAAAAAAAAAAAATACCATCTCAGTCATCTTCTTTACCATTTGGACAGTGGAAGAATAAAACGGATTGGAGAGCAAAGGGACAGTCTTTGGGGAAGCAACATTTCCTGCATATGAATACTAGGATGGATGAGATAAATGGTGTAGCACTTTGAAAATCTGAGAGGTGGGGAACGGGGAAACTAAAGTATTTTTTCACTAGTAAAAACAGTATGCAAATAAAAAGTCTCAAGGTTTAATTTTTTAAAATTTATTTATTTATGCATACAAGAGTTGGGGTATAGGCCAGAGGTTGGGGAGGGGGGTGCGGGGTGAGAGGATTCACCAGAGACAGAGTGGGGAGCAGAACAGGAGGACTGACTGAAATACACTGCTGAGGGGAGCAGTGGGGGAGACAGGAGAAGTTTGCTGGGCCACGTGGGTCAGCTCCCTGGTCAGGGATGGAACTTGTGCTGTGGTGGCTGCCAACAGCTTCACAGTGCTGAGACTTAACCCCTTGCACCACCAGGGAGGCCCCTTAAGGTTTAAATTTAAGAGAAAATTGCAATCACGGCATGTAAGTATATTTTAAATGACTTTGCCAAACAACCACTGTCAACATTATCAAAGGATTTAATAAGCATCTGTTTTAACTTGGCATTGCACCCAGGTTCAAGACTTTGACCTGCTAGTGTGGCCTGTGTTTGATTGGTTCAAAGAAATATGGCAGGAGCAGCTAACCACCCAAGCCTCTTTAAGCACATATTTTTAATGTTTGTTCATGTAGAATGTTCAATAGCGTACATAGCATTACTTCTTGTGTTTCCTGCATAGTTTGTTAATGAATGTATCTCCAGAAGAAAAGCACTTTCTAAACTAATGGATGTACAAGTTCTGGGTTTCCTGGGTATTTTGGCCTTATCATTTTTAATTTTAATATATGTCATTTTTATTCCTAACACTATTGAGTAAGTGGAATGTGTTGAATCCAAAACATCACCATTATTTTAGCTGAAGTGGAGGCTGATTGTGGGATCTTTAACCCATAGTAACATTGTGGTCTCAAATTTTCTATATGTGATGTACAACAACCCTCAGCATGTAAGTGTATTTTAAATGACTAAAATACAACACCTCACAGAAGTAAAGATTACATTATGTCCTGATCCATAAGTACAAGGAATTCAGGGGACAGTCACATCTTAAAGTGAATTGAATGTCTATGATTTAGCAAATGTAATACACATTGCAAATAGACCTTGGGTGAATGACAAAGTTAAAAATATATGTTCCCATAATTAGCATCCATACTGAAGAGTTTCAAACTTAGAAGTAGGGGCTGGCAGAAGATGAAAAATTGCCTTAGAGAGTAGAGCTCTAAGTTAGGTGAGAACTGATACTCTTCTGTTATCCTTAGTCAAGAATTCTTAAATAGGACCTCCCTGGTGGTGCAAGGGGTTGAGCACAGCACTGTGAAGCTGTCCGCAGCATCTGCAGTGTGAGTTTGATCCCCGGCCAGCCAGGAAGGTACCCACATTGTGCAGTGGACCTCTCCTGTCTTGCCTGCTGCTCTCCTCAGCAGTATATTTCAGTAGATCGGCCTGTTCTGTTCCCCACTCTGTCTCTGGTGAATCCTCTCACCCCCTCACCTCTGGCCTATACCCCAGTTTTTGCATGCATAAATAAATCTTTTTTTAAAAAAGAATTCTTAAACGAATTCATTGTCTTGTTGTGTATGTATGTGTGTGTGTGGGGGGGTGGGATCAGAAGTGAAATGGAGAGAGATAGTGGAAGGGCAACTTCTGGGACTGGTGAAGAATCTGTAAGGTTGTGGGCGGGCACTAACCACAGCCCTGTGGACAGTTGCAGGACTGTCCCCATTACTGACACTTTATAGGTGAAACTAACATAACCACAAAGCAAAGCTGAGGTTTAAATCCTGGTGGGCTTCCCACCCCCCCTTTTTGTTTTTTGGTTATTGCTTGTTTTATCCTTAAAATAGGCTCACACTCTTCTCATGAAACATGAGAAGACACGCATAGGGTGACCTGAGTGCTGGACTGGTTTTATTACCTGGATGGGTGAGCCCTTTCTGCTGTGGGTCTCTCAAGAGATGTTGCATGGCTTTTACCACCTATCAATATTGGCCATCTCTACATTTTATCATTTCCTCCTTCCCTCTATAAGGGATGAAGGGTCCACAGTTTGTATTCATTCTTTTGAGTCATCAAAATAAGATTTTTTTAAAGATTTATTTATTTATGCATACAAGAGCTGGGGTACAGGCCAGAGATGGGGTAGGTGAGAGGACTCACCGGAGACAGAGTGGGGAACAGAACAGGCCGGCTGACTGAAATACACTGCTGAGGGGAGCAGCAGGTGAGACAGGAGATTTCTGTGCGCCATGTGGGCTTCTCCCTGGCCAGCCGGGGATCAAACTTGCACTGCAGAGGCTGTGGATTGCTTTTTCATAGAGTGGTGCTAACCCCTTGCGCTACCAGGGAGGCTCTAAGATTTTTTAAAAGTATATTGTATTGAAAGTCTTGGGAGAGATGTAGAGAATTCCTGGCTGGGAGATAAATGTCCTTAAAATCTTCTCACATGAGTTTATGTTTCTGCCTTAGAGAAAGCTGCATGCTAAAAATCTCTAGAAATTTCCTTTTAGTGGAGAAACTTCTGGTCACTATGTTATACTTCTAATAAAAATATCTGGAGGAAATGAAAAGCAAACCCATTTAGAATGATTTAACACCAGTTAAGATTCCGAGACTGTTATTGTGGCCAGTAGAAGCTGCATCCATATCAGTACTAATGAATTTTTATATTTTGGTGTAACTTTGCTGTCTTGCCGACTGGAGAACGGTTGAAAGTTTCTTAGTTGGAATTGAGGGACAGTAGATGAGAGCAAGGAGTCTTTGGCTAGGCCACAAAGATCTTTCAAGAGGAAAAGAAAAAGGACATCTGCTCTCTGAAGCTGGTTCTAGAACACAATGGAAGGTAAAGGTCATGCTTTCCAGTGATAGACAACCAATTGAACAAGATTCTCAACCTTGGCCACATGTTGCAATGACTTGAGTATCTTTAAAATAATACTAGGGCCTCCCCGGTGGCGCAGCGGTTGAGCGCTGGGTTGCGAAGCTGCCAGCGACCTCTGCGGCGCCGGTTTGATCCCCGGCTGCTCCCCGGCCACCAGAGGAGGGTCCCACATGGCGCGCAGACCTCTCCTGCCGCCCGCTGCTCCCCTCAGCAGTGTACTTTGGTTCTTCTGCCTGCTCTGCTCCCTGCTCTGGCTCTGGTGAATTCTCTCACCCTCCCGCGCTTCTGACTGTACCCAGTGCTTGTATAAACAAAGAAACAAACAAATAAATAAATAAAAAACATGCCTCTATAAAAAAAATAAATAAATAAAATAATACTAGTTCTCCCCGCATATATTTTCTTTCCAAGCATTTTGATTTAATTGTTGTGGGGCACATCCTGGGTGCCATGTTTTTAAAAAGCACCCCTAGTGATTCTAACATGCAGCCAAGGTTGAGAACCACTGAACTAGAGAAAGCCTTGGCCTATCACATCTTATTAAAATCTGAGCAAGGGTCTCCCTGGTGGCACATGGGGTTAAGTCTCAGCACTATGAAGCTATCAGCAGCCACTGTAGCACGAGTTCGATCCCTGGCTTGGGAGCTAACCCATATGGCACAGCGCACCTCTCCTGTCTTGCCTGCTGCTCCCCTCAGCAGTGTATTTCAGTCAGTCCGCCTGTTCTGCTCCCTACTTTGTCTCTGGTGAATCCTCTGACCCCCCACACCTCTGGCCTGTACCCCAGTTTTTGTATGCATAAATAAATCTTTAAAATTTTGAGCAAATCTGGAATGTTCTATGGGAGCAGGGAAGAAAAAGGTGTGAAAGTGGCATAAAACCAAGCACTTAGGCGCAAAACAGGTACATTTTTTGGTACAGAATTAAATAAGTAAAATAAAACTGGCTGGAATAGAACAGCATAGTAAGATTTAAGCTTCTTGATGAATGACAGTCATTTTTGATTGACATCCTCTATAGGCCAAGCAGTGCAATGAAGAGTTTAATAGTTTTTTATTCTGTACAAGCATGCCATGGAAAAGTTACCTGCTTGTCATGAGGACACACTCATCTTGGATCTTCTCCCCAAATCCTTTCATTCCATGCCTTCAACCATTTTGTGTATGAGTTGCTTCTATGGCTACCTTATTACCCCTACTTCTTCAATAAGCCTTATTTAATAAGAAGGCAATCTTTTTTAAAAAAGATTTATTTTTATTTATTTATGCATTTAAGAACAGGGGTGCAAGCCAGAAGTGCAGGAGGTGAGAGGATTCACCAGAGACAAAATGAGTAGCAGAACAGGCAGATCTACTGAAATACACAGCTGGGGGAGCAACGGGCTAGATAGGAGAGGTCTGCTGCGCCATATGGGGTAGCTCCCTGGCCAGGGTCGAACTCATGC